CGTTTTAGTTCTAATGATGAATCTAGCAGAACAGAAACATTTTCATTAAACTGATTTTGTTAAAACAGAGTTTTACTAGAAATAGTTTAAAGTGAGATCCTTGAAAACTACTTAATATCTATTCAAACAAAGTAATTCATCTGACCCCCAATTCAGAAAATACAGCTAAACTGCATGACTAAACTCCTGCAAGACACATACCTGTGGCAGGAATGGTAACATTATACTGAAGTGTAACAAAAATGACAGCTGCTTTTGCTGTAATCTGAAAGAGAAAAACAATAATGTTGTAAAATTTCACTGAAATAAACTATATTAGACCGAAAATATTTGCCCTTTTTCTTAGTACCCTTCCCCAGCCTGTTTTTCCTTCCTCCCCCCCCCCAAAAAAACCTTCCATTATCATGTCACTCATCTGACCTTCTAAAGGTAGAACAGACTGCATAATCTCTATAGGTTTGTTTAGAGAATATCCATTCTCCTGCATGAAATACCCCCCAAAATTCTGTTTACAGATAGTCTTTACCACAACATTAAAATGATAGCATACTTTGAAATTCTTTCTTCAATGCACACTGTATTAATATATTAAACAGAAGGTACAATAGCCTGTAATACTTAGACCATGATGTACACAGTTGTGGCTCAGAGTAAACTTCATCGAAAATTATGTTTTAATTTGACAAATTCTGAAGGTCAACATGATACGCAAACCTACGGGCGATGTGGGAAACGTCAATAGGTAAGAAGAAAAAAAAACGAAAGAACAGAGAACCTTTTTGGCCTAGCTGCATACCAACTCGAACAACTTAGCAACATTTTGACCCTGCACACCCCTTGGCAAAAAGTGTAAAACAAAGGAAATGAAATTTAGCAGTAGCAGTGTTACTCCTTTATGATGGATAGTAAGAAAAAGCAGAATGAATAAAAGAAAGGGGAGGAAAAAAGGTTTTTCTCAAGGCTTTTTTGGGAGAGGGGCATGAAACTATAAAAACCCAATAAATAAGCAGCAGCACAAGTTTCTATCTCTCGCTAAGTATCAATTAATTTTCAAGTTTAAGACAGCGTTGGTGAATCCCAGTGACTATCACAAATCAACATGTCTTGTCAGAGAGAATAAAAACCCCAAGATTTCTGACATTTATGATCTGATCTGTTTCTCATTGCTATATAAATATAGCATCCTTGCTGCATTCATAGAATTGACAAGAAATATACTCTGGAATCTTGAAAGGATAATTTGGATATCTGAAGATCATTTCTTGTAGATAATAACAAATGCAGGCAGTAACCTAGAAATTAGGTTCTACTTTCCCCCCGGCCAGTGCTTTGTAAACAAGCCCCAGATTTCTCCATCTCTGATTTCCCTGAACACACAGTGTTCACTCCATGTAACTTCAGGGAATCCAGCTAGTTTGCCTGAATTACTTAGGCTGCCTGGGGCATCCTATACAGTCAAGGGAGCCTTCGGAAAACAAACCAAAGCACTTAGTTGATTCTAAGTTGCCCTCTGAAGGCTCTGTAAACCATGCACAAAGTCCTAACTCGGTCCATACTTCAGGCAGTATAAATACCTTGTCAACATTAAGTGCAGCGGATAATTTCTCAGTCCTATATCAAAGCATTTCAAAAATCAAAACAATCTGTAAAGCCAGAGCATATTTGTACCACCAAAGACATAGGCCACTTCTACCGCAACAGATTTTATGTATGGGTAAAACCCCTCCCAAAACTTCAGTATTACCAGATTTAGTAAGTACAGTAAGACATAAGTAAATAAAATACAAAGCCTTAAGTTCATGAGGCCTCATACTCCAGAAAACCACCAAAAGGCTGTCTTAGTGATTTTTGATAATAAAAAGAAATACAATAATTTTCTTAAGTCTGTCCTGCTTTTTATTTTCTGTGTGTATATTTCAACTATTGTTAAAACAAGGCAAAAAGCCTCCACTGGCCTCTACTACTGAGCAGTATCAAAACCGGAATAAAATTGCTCTGAAAAACATCCATAACTGTTTTATCAAACAGCTAGAATACTGACAAGCCTACAGGTAATGACAGCCTGCCAGAAACACTCGGGCAGCAAAAACGGGAGCGTCTTACCTTGACAGGACACCACTAAGAGCGTTTGGGACAACACACATGTAACTACCTTTCAAGTTCCCTCAATAAGTAACGGAGAAGAGTCAAAAAGGGACGCCTGAATACTTCAGCAGCCAAGTTCAGCTTTTTATTTATTTATTTATTTTCCCTTCCAGTTTACCACATCCCCCCCACCCCGGCGGGTCCAGCGCCGACGCCTCCTTCAGAGGTGGGTGAGAA